ATAACCAGACACACAGTTTAACTCCAGTGAGGTTGGTCAAAGTCAGAATCCAACTTAAATTTCTTAAGGAGAATTGTGGAATGCACGATGCTCGGTCCTTTGACTAAGTAATTAAGCTGAATTGAATTTTAAGGGTCTGCAGTTTCAAGGATGTATCTGAGCACTGTGATCATCCATTGATGAACATTGCTCCCCACATGGTTTAAATGGATGGTCTTGGTGAGTAACTGGGGTCTCCAAACTTCATTCTCAGGGAAAGAAGTTTCAAATGATGAGATGAGTTGATCTGAGCTTATCCAAGTCTTCTGATGAACTTTGGTTATATTTAAAAGAGGAAGGTATTTATTCAGAAGCAGGGAAGGGAGAGTCCCTGACCTCTGCCCTGGGCAGACTCCATCGCTGGAGCAGTGAACTCAGGTCTGGGTGACATATTTTAGGAAGGACACTGGGCCTATCCAGAGGTAAGAACCCAGGACAAACAGGGGACTGTCACATCTGTGTTATGTGGACAACAATTCTGAAGAAACTTGGCATGTTTGACCTGAAAAGCAGCAGACTTAAAGGGGGGAAGGGTCAGTAAGGGAAGGGAGGCACCATCATTGTCTCCAAACATCTGGATGGCCATTGTGTGAAAGAGTGATGAGGCCTCTTCTGCTTGGCCCCAGAGAACAGAAGCAGCACCAGCTGGAGAAGTATGCAGAGATTTCAGCTTGACATCAGGAAGAAATGCCTCATTAGTGCTGTCCTCAAATGGAGCAGGCTGCCCTGGGAGGTGGTGGGCTTCCCTTCATTGGAGGTCTTCTAATTTTTTTATTTTTAGGCAATTGGGGTTAAGTGACTTGCCCAGGATCATACAGCTAATAAGTGTCAAGTGTTTGGTCTGAGGTCAGAGTTGAACTCAGGTCCTCCTGACTCCAGGGCCGGTGCTCTATCCACTGTGCCACCTAGCTGCCCCATTGGAGGTCTTCTAGAAGAAGCTGGGTGCCCCCTTTGTTGGGCTATCGCAGAGGGGAAGCTTGTTCAGGTGACAAGTTGGACTCGGCCACCGATGTGCCTTCCAGCTCAGAGATTTTGTGATTCTCCATCAGAAGGAGGGGTTAGAGGGAAGGAGGAGATGTTAGCCAGAGCCACTCAGATCAGCCCTTAAAACGAGCCTGCTTAACGTTACAAACAAAAGCACCATACGCTCATAACAGGCCACGTGGGATAACACTGAGGACCCAAGTTACCACACAGGGAATGATATTTAGCCGTGCTCTGGTACAAGCCGCTGGCGCTTGACAGGATCAAACAGCCAGTCAAGATGCATTTATTAAGCACTGACTGTGTGCTAGGCACAGGGGCTACAAAGCCAGAAACAAAACAACCCCTGCTCTCAAGTCGCTTACAATCTAGCCCTGGAAGGGAGAGGTAAGGAAAGACAGGGTGCTCCAAGCTGGCACCCAGGCTCACGGTCTTTGATAGAGCAACCTTCCCATCCTCGGGGAGTCACAGCAGAAAGTTAACTAGAGATTGCGGGAGCTGAAGGGGGTACCCTCATAGCAAAGGTTAAATTTGCATTTAATGAGGATCAGTAATAATGATAATAGTAACCAGCATTCCTACAGGGCCTTGCATTCATTTGATCCTGAGACAGGAGCTGTAAATATAATTCCCCTCATTTTACAGAAAAAGAACACTTGAGCAGAGATTAGCTATCCCAAATATTATCCCTAATTCTGGGTCCAATTGTGCTTCTAACCCTAATTCCCTATTTCTAACCATACCCCTAATCACCTTGTCTAACCCTAACTCCCTATCTGATCCTGCTTCTCTCACTTTAGCTCATGAGTTTTTCTAGGAGACTCCTTCAAGCCCTTTCTGCCTCTGAACCTGCTTACTCTAATTTTATACACGCTATTAACAAGGTTGGTTATGTGTGCTCCCAGCCCATGGTCGCTTCATTCAATTCACAAAGTACCTGTTACAGACAAGGGAAATCTTACTATGCTAGGCTCTGAAGATACAAAACCAAGAAACACAAAACCAGGCTGCCTTCAAGGAGTCTGGTGGGTGCATATGTGTGTTGGGGTGGGGAGGAAGGGAGAGAGAGAAGAAAATGAGCAACAAATCCTGGAGGGACCAGAGGCAGGCTGGAACCGGACTAGAGACCTAGCTGGAAGTGGCGACGGCCGACAGTGAGGAAGACCACAGACACCGTAGCTCATAAGCTTTAAGTATTTATGCATCTTCATTACACTCTAGGACCGGGGAAGCAGAGTGAGATGCAAGAATCAGAATGGCAAGAGAGGCCACTGATGCTTGCCGAACTCTGTGGGGCTTTGGTAGTCTGGAGGGACGTCAGGAAGGTGATCAGTGTGTGAACTCCAGAGGCCCAGTTTTTTCCCCAAAAGAAGATTGTTAGAGTGGCGCTCCTGGAGAACAGGGAGGGCTGACAGGCGAGCCCTGGAGACTGGGGGCATACGTCGATCAAATCATCACAGACAAGCCATAAGTCAAACAAGAGAACAGAGGGAGTGGACAAAACAAGACGGAGATCAGACACAAGCCGAGGTCCGAGGCCCAAGGCCAGAGCTGGTTCTAGAGTATCATGCTACGTAGAACCCTTGGGTGTGCGATCTGAAACCCCATGCATCTGCTGGGCTGTGAGTGAGCTCCTAAGGGCCTTGGAGGGTCTGAGTACAATGCAGTGACTCCTTCATTGGGTTTTTGGAACAGCCCGTGACATCATCAATCTCGATGAACTGGACAGATGGTGATCAGTCAGTGCCTATGCAGGGCAGTACCTCCTCTGAGACTTAGAAAGTTCTTGGGACACAGGTAAAGTGACTTATTCAGGGTGACACAGCCAAATATGGGCTGGAGAGAAGACGTGAGCCCTGGTCTTGCCGATTTTGAGGCATGTTCTCTATCTGTTACACCATGATGCCAGTGCGTGCTGCCAATGACTCATAGACTTGATGTTAGTTGGAACACAAAATGTTAGATCTGGGAGGGTTCTTAGGGAATGGAGCATCAGAGCTTAAAGGAACCTTATAAAAAGGGACCTTAGAGCTGGGAGAGATTCAAAATAGAGAAGGTCAGAGCTGGAGGGGACCTTAGAACATGCAATGTTAGAGCTGGGAGAGATTTCAAATAGAGAAGGTCAGAGCTGGAGGGGACCTTAGAACATGCAATGTTAGAGCTGGGAGAGATTTAAAATAGAGAAGGTCAGAGCTGGAGGGGACCTTAGAACATGCAATGCTAGAGCTGGAAGGGACCTTAGAACATGCAATGCTAGAGCTGGAAGGGACCTTAAAACATGCAATGTCAGAGCTGGAAGGGACCTTAGAACATGCAATGTTAGAGCTGGGAGAGATTTAAAATAGAGAAGGTCAGAGCTGGAGGGACCTTAGAACATGCAATGTTAGAGCTGGAAGGGACCTTAGAACATGCAATGCTAGAGCTGGAAGGGACCTTAGAACATGCAATGCTAGAGCTGGAAGGGACCTTAGAACATGCAATGTTAGAGCTGGGAGAGATTCAAAATAGAGGTCAGAGCTGGAGGGGACCTTAGAACATGCAATGTTAGGTCAGGGAGAGATTCAAAATAGAGAAGGTCAGAGCTGGAGGGGACCTTAGAACATGCAATGCTAGAGCTGGAAGGGACCTTAGAACATGCAATGCTAGAGCTGGAAGGGACCTTAGAACATGCAATGCTAGAGCTGGAAGGGACCTTAGAACATGCAATGCTAGAGCTGGAAGGGACCTTAGAACATGCAATGTTAGAGCTGGGAGAGATTTAAAATAGAGAAGGTCAGAGCTGGAGGGGACCTTAGAACATGCAATGCTAGAGCTGGAAGGGACCTTAGAACATGCAATGCTAGAGCTGGAAGGGACCTTAGAACATGCAATGCTAGAGCTGGAAGGGACCTTAGAACATGCAATGTTAGAGCTGGGAGAGATTCAAAATAGAGAAGGTCAGAGCTGGAGGGGACCTTAGAACATGCAATGTTAGAGCTGGGAGAGATTTAAAATAGAGAAGGTCAGAGCTGGAGGGACCTTAGAACATGCAATGCTAGAGCTGGAAGGGACCTTAGAACATGCAATGCTAGAGCTGGAAGGGACCTTAGAACATGCAATGCTAGAGCTGGAAGGGACCTTAGAACATGCAATGTTAGAGCTGGGAGAGATTTAAAATAGAGAAGGTCAGAGCTGGAGGGGACCTTAGAACATGCAATGCTAGAGCTGGAAGGGACCTTAGAACATGCAATGTTAGAGCTGGGAGAGATTCAAAATAGAGAAGGTCAGAGCTGGAGGGGACCTTAGAACATGCAATGCCAGAGGTAGCAGGGACCCTGAGGAATCATTTTGTCCAATCCCCTAATTTTACAGATGAGGAAATAGCCTGAGTTTTGAGGACAGGTAAGATAGCTAGTCTCTTGGCCACGCAGTACCCCACTCTCTACAGCCTCAGTCTGGCTATTTTGGGTGGCTTAGGGGGACAGGGACCAGTGACTAGGGAGCACTAGGTAGGGAATGGGCCATGAATAAGACTTGCAGGGAAAGGGGAAAAGTTCAGCATGAGGTGAGATGTGCGTGTTTATGAACATTGAGAGTGTCTTTGCTAGGGAAAGATTTGCAAACTCATTTTTCAAAAGTCTCTGTAGACAATTGTCAATATGATCACTAACCATACAGTGGAAGAAACTGCCTGCTGCTGAGAGAGGTGACTTGCCCAAGGTCTCACAATGAGCTAGTGGCAGAATTGCCCTGAGAGCACATGTCTAGCCATTTTGGCGTCAGTGGTCTTTCAATAGAACTGGTTATCCTTGTCTATGATAACCTGGGTTCAGGAGATCACAGATGGAAAGTGCTTACTCAGTCCAGGTCCCCATGACCTTGATTTTGAGGAAACAATGAACACTTAGGAACAGTCTGTGGCTCTCATTTTCTTTCTCCTTCCCCCTGCCCTTGCCCAGAGGCCTCTTTTCTTACCCCAGTTATAGCCACCCTCTGACCTTGGAATATGTTGGATCTCATATGGTATCCCAGCTCATAATAATCTGCAAACGCTGAGGATTCCATCGAATTCCGAGTCTTGCTCACATGGCTGCTCACCCGCTTCTGTCCCTCAATCACTTCAAATATGGCCCTTCGAGCCTGGGATGAGGGTAGAGCAGAGTGTCACGCCCTGCATCTGCCTAGGAATTCCTGCCAGTCTCAGGCCCCTCCCAGCTCTGACGCTCCCTGTTCTCTGACCCTCCCAGCTCTGACGCTCCCTGTTCTCTGACCCTCCCAGCTCTGACATTCCCTGTTCTCTGACCCTCCCAGCTCTGACATTCCCTGTTCTCTGACCCTCCCAGCTCTGACATTCCATGTCCTATGACCCTCTCAGCACTGACACTCTCTAAAGTGCAGATTGGTTCAGGAATTTCTTGTCCTGAAGCTCCTGTCAGCTCTGACACTCCCTGTTCTAAGGCCCCTCCCAGCTCTGCCATTCTATGTTCTATAACCCTTTTAGCACTGACTGTTCTCTAAAGTACGGACTAGTTCAGGAATTCTTTGTCCTAAGGCTCCTCCCAGCTCTGACATTCCCTGTTCTCTGACCCTCCCAGCTCTGACATTCCATGTCCTATGACCCTCTCAGCACTGACACTCTCTAAAGTGCAGATTAGTTCAGGAATTCTTTGTCCTAAGGCTCCTCCCAGCTCTGCCATTCCATGTTCCAAGATCCCTCCCAGCTCTGACATTCCCTGTTCTCTGACCCTCCCAGCTCTGACATTCCATGTCCTATGACCCTCCCAGCTCTGACATTCCATGTTCTAAGATCCCTCCCAGCTCTGCCATTCCATGTTCTAAGGCCCCTCCCAGCTCTGCCATTCCATGTTCTAAGGCTCCTCCCAGCTCTGACATTCCCTGTTCTCTGACCCTCCCAGCTCTGACGTTCCATGTCCTATGACCCTCTCAGCACTGACACTCTCTAAAGTGCAGATTAGTTCAGGAATTCTTTGTCCTAAGGCTCCTCCCAGCTCTGCCATTCCATGTTCCAAGATCCCTCCCAGCTCTGACATTCCCTGTTCTCTGACCCTCCCAGCTCTGCCATTCCATGTTCTAAGGCCCCTCCCAGCTCTGCCATTCCATGTTCTAAGGCCCCTCCCAGCTCTGACATTCCATGTTCTAAGATCCCTCCCAGCTCTGACATTCCATGTTCCAAGGCCCCTCCCAGCTCTGCCATTCCATGTTCTAAGGCCCCTCCCAGCTCTGCCATTCCATGTTCTAAGGCCCCTCCCAGCTCTGCCATTCCATATTCTAAGGCCCCTCCCAGCTCTGCCATTCCCTGTTCTCTGACCCTCCCAGCTCTGCCATTCCCTGTTCTCTGACCCTCCCGGCTCTGCCATTCCGTGCTCCAAGGGCCACTTCATCTTTCAAGCAGGTCCCTTCACTGCCATCCCCCGCCACTGATCCTTGGCCCTCTCATTCTCCCCTGCCCAGACCGAAGAATGCCCGAGGTGATACCTGCTCCTCAGTCACCAGCTGGTCCACTGTGTTGCTCCCAAACTTGTGCCGGATATTGCTGGGGACGCAGCTGGCGTTTCTGCCAACCACACCAGACTGGCACTCAGTACCAGAACTGTCATCCCGTTCAGCCTTAGGTACCCTGCAATCCTCTGCTCCCTTGGAAGAACGCAACTCCTCTCTTGAGCTCATCCAGCTTGACCGAGAGGAGCCTCTTGACCCATGTTTCCTGGGGGTGACTGTCCCCTGACTGGTGATATCCCTCCCATCAGATGACCCAGTGTTCAACCTTGATTCTCCAGAATGAGTTGTCCTCAGCCGGTTACCACTTTTCTCAATGATGTCTCTTGTTGGGGGAGTGCCAGAGGGGATGGTGACTGGCTCTTGGAATGGGATTGGTCCAAAGGAGTCTTGGGTCCTCTCCAGGACTGACGGCCATTGTCTTTCTGGGACAATCTCTGGCTGTTTATTAGAGGCCTGGACCCACGGGCCACAGCTATAGATAAATGAGGATTAGGGACAAAGACAGAAAAGTAGAGACACAAACAGGTAGACAAAGAGGGAGATGTAAAGGGGGGAGACGATGGAGCACAGAGAGAAGAGGAGATAAGAACAGACAGAAGAAAAGGCATTACAGGGAGAGAAAGAATGAGAAGAAAACGGAAGGAAGAGAAGGAGAGAAAGAATGAGAAGAAAAAGGGAGGAAGGAAAAAAAGATGGCATAGGACAGAGAGAAAAGGGGGAAAGAGTTGAGAGAAGAGAGAGAAGAGAGAAAGAAGGGGAAAAAGAGAAAAGGGAGAAAAATATAATTGAAGTCACAGAATCTCAGAATCTCTGAGGTGACAGGATCTCAGTGGCCATCTAGCCTGACCTGCACCTGGGCAGATCTGCAACCTCACCAACAATTGGTCTTCTGACCGTTTTTGGAAGACTCCCACGAGGGTAAGCTTATTCCACGTATTGATGTTAAGGTTATGAAGTTTTTCCTTATATCTGCCCCAAATCTACCTTTCTGCAACTTTTGATTTATTTATTAATCAAGCATTTATCTCCATATGGCAGGCAATGGGATAGTGACTTATCCAAGGTCCTGCAGGTGCTAAGTGGCAGCTTCTGGACTGCATCGCTAGTCAAGTTGCACCTTCCACAGAATCCCATGGCCTCTCAACTGTCTCACTTCTGGCATGGTCCAATATAAGAAACATTTATTGAATGCCATCTTATGTACCAGCCTTGAGCCAAGCACTAGGTGGTGGTGAAGAGAGAAGAGCCTCAGGGGCAGCTAGATGGCACAGTGGATAGAGCACTGGCCCTGGATTCAGGAGGACCTGAGTTCAAATCCGGCCTCAGATAATTAATACTTACTAGCTGTGTGACCCTGGGCAAGTCACTTAACCCCAATTACCTAAAAAAACCAAAAACCAAAAAACAAAAAACAAAAAAACAAGAGAGACGAGCCTAGGGAATCTCCTTCCTCTAGATCTGTCTTGTTAAACCGGGTGGGGGGGGGGGTTGGGGGTGGGGGAGGGAACCAGTCAGGATTTGATCCTGGGCATCGGGTTCATTTAGCAGGGAACCTGCTAAATCCCTTGTCCTGGAAACAATAGGTAGTGATCAAACTTTCGTCTTTTTGAGATTGAATTCTCCCAGAGTGTCCACGTAATCTCTTAGAGCAAACCTGGCCAGCCCAAAAGTCTTTCCTTCCTTTAGGAAGGTATGAGTGTGGTGAGGGGCATTATTTATTTTGCATGTACATCCTTGTAATGGGAGCAACCCACTAAGCCCCATGACTGACGGGTCTGGCCAAGCCCAGGCCATTTCAGGGGTGTCGTGTGAGTGTGTGTTGGAGAGGGTGGGGGGTGGGAGCGGGCTCAGGGTTGAAGGATTTGGGTGGAGTTTTGGGATGACATTGCAATCCCTTGGTCCCATGATGGCAGCAAAGGATGCCTGTGTCATCTCAAAGTCCGAAGTCCCTCACCACAAGGCCTTATGTTAAGTACTTATCAATGAAGGTGGTGGGTTCTCTTGTCGAATGGAATCTCCTTGAGGGTAGGCCTGCTTCACTTTTGTCCTGGCACAGTGAACTTAGACAAATGCTGCCTAGTTATTAAATGAGTAGACTTTACCCGCTTCACTGGGGGCTCAGACCCTTTGTCCTAGGGAGCGAATAGGCCCTAGCTCTGACTGCCTTCATCTAGCTGGCCAACAATCCCCTTAATGACCTAGGGCCATCTTGTTTGGGGTGGCAGGATCATGGTGGAGAGGGGGAAAGGACCAGCTTGTACAGATACAGGCAGAAATAGGGGCACTTATCAGAGGATAGGGAAGCCCTACAATATCCCCAGCAGCTCTCACAGCAAGAATTAGCTTCTTGCCTACACCTGACCTCTTGTCTATACCTCCTACCTGTGGCATGGCCTGCTCCTTTTTTCTCTGTGTCATGTACATCCAGATCCAAATCCTGTCAATGACAATAGGAAGATTACAAACCGATACAAAGAGTCCTCACTTCTCTAGCAGCTGGGGGAGCAGTGGAGAGAGTGTTTGTGCCTGGAGTCAGGAGGACCCAAGTTCAAATCTAGCTTCAGACACCCTTGATCCTGGTTGACTTTCTGGGCAAGTCATTTGGCCTCTGTAATAATAACACTTACCTTCCAGGGTTGTTGTGGGAATCAAATGAGACAATATTTGTAGAGTGCTTAACACAGTGCTTGGTAAACTGTAGGTGCTTAATAAATGCTCATTCCCTTTCCCTTAAAGCTTCTAAGATACTTCACAGCAACTCTGTATAGATATTGTTACCCCCCATTTCACAGATGAGAAAAGGGAAGTGATTTGCCTATGGCTTCATAAGCAGTAAGTGAAGCCTCCAAGATTCACACCTTGGCCTCTCCTGACTCACTGTCTAGTTCTCTTTCTACTAACACGGAGAACCACAAATCCAGGGTGCCAGACAAATAAGTGTCCCTTAGAGCTTCCCTTCTTTGCCACAGAGACCTCTCTTACTCCTTTTTTTTTTTTTTTTTTGCCCAGGGTCACACAGCTAGTGAGTAACATGTGTCTGAGGTTGCATTTGAACTCAGGTCCTCCTGACTCCAGGGCCGGTGCTCTATCCACTGTGCCACCTAGCTGCCCCACCCTTACTCTCTTGCCCTCCCCTCAGACCTTAGAGTCATATTACCTGGTTTAGGGATTCCAGCCCTGACACCTGGACTCTCCTTACATTAAAATCCCATCCACCGATTGCCTCAGATCTGGGGAGATGCTGCTGCTCTCCAGCTCCCCACAACTCAGCTGCCGCATACACCCCTCCCTCCTTGAAGTCTGAACTTCGATATTGATCAGATTCCTAGCAAAGTTTAGCTGGGTGCTGAATTGTAGGGTGAGAAAGAGCAGTGGGGGGAAAGCGCCAGAGCTGCTCTAAAGGAGAAAACTTTCCCTTTTCCATGCCTGGATCATAGAAAGGAGGTGGTAGCTTGACCAGGCTGAGCTCAAAATAACCTCTCCTGTTTCAGTGTTAACAAGAAGGTCGCAAAGGAATGAAAGGTGAGAATCCTGGAGCAGAATCCAGACAGCTGCCTCCTGCATTGGGTCCTGATGATTGGGCTCTTGACCTTGGGACATTTAATTCAATTTAGGGAAATTCAAGACTCATTGATTCCAACCAGGGAAGCCAAAGTGACCCACCCCCAAAAGGGAGGACTTAGCCTCAGGGGGGCTTAAGGAGGCTCATTATAAATTATAGTAGAGACTGCCTTTTGTCTTCCACTGTCTTTGCTTGTGTAATCCTGCTGCTGATCTGTCAGCTGGTTGCTTTGATTTCTGCTCTGACCTCTTCTCAAATTTTCCTTACAGCAGCCCGTTCTGTCTATGGTATCTGGACTTGGAATCAGCAGGTCTGGTCTTGTGTTCCACCCATCTTGACCACTGACTGACTGTCTGTGACATCTTGAGCTAATCAGTTAACTCCCGAGTCTTGTTGCAAATTGTTTGTTTTCATGTATAAAAATAGAGGTTTGGACTAGGGGACCTTTAAAGTCACTTACCACTGGGGTCATTATGAAGGTAAATGAGATAATATCTGTAAATGGCTTAACTTGGTGCTTCCTTGCCTCCTAGATCTCAAAGCATATGATTCGGTGCTGGGCAGCATGTATTCAGAGTTTAGGTTTCAATTCCATTTCCTCCAGCAGACTATTGCAATTACCACCTGGTGGCCAAACTCTGCCCAGCCGATGAGCCTTTGCCCCACCCTACAGCACCCCAGGCAAGAGACATTTTCCGGAAGCATTTACTGTGAAACAATGAAATTTTTTTTTCTCTCCCCCCCTTTTTTTTTTCAGTGAGGCAATTGGGGTTAAGTGCTTTGCCCAGAGCCACACAGCTAGGAAGTGTTATGTGTCTGAGGTCAGATTTGAACTCAGATCCTCCTGACTCCAGGGCCTGGTGCTCTATTCACTGCACCACCTAGCCGCCCTGAAACAGTGAAATTTACACCTCTTCCCCCAATCCCCTGATGCCAGGAATGAATTACCTCCAGGAATGAACCTCTTAGAATTCCTCTCTCCTTCAAGACTTAGCTCTAGAGCCTCCTTTTACATGAGGCTTTTCTTTTTCTTAACCAAACAGTAAGCATTTATGAAGCACCTACTATATTTCAGATTCTGTACTAAGCACTGGGGATACAAAGAAAGACACAAGACAGTCCCTGTTCTCAAAGAGCTCACAATCTAATGTGAGTTAATACCTGGCATTAGCCCCACTAAGTATGAAATTCAAAGAGCGAGACACTATAGTCATTTGACCTATTACCACACCCCCTTCAAGGCTTCCATCTTCTTATTTATTTATTGTTTTGTTTCTAATTTATGATTTTAGTAATCTGTTTAAAAAATATATCATTTCAAATTCTCTCTCCCTCCATCCCCTTCCCTACCCACTGAGAAGGCAAGCAGTATGATATCAATTATACACATGAAATCATGCAAAACCTATTTCCATATTTCCATATTCCCAAAGGCTTTTCCAGATTCCCTCCGAACTACTAGTTCCTTCCCAACAAAATTACTGCTTGTATTCCGCATCTCTTTTCTATCCGTCTATGCTTACCTGCCCCAATAGAATGCAAGCTCCTTGAGGGCAGGAATTGTTTAACTTTTTGTCTATATTTCCCAGCCCAGTGTCTAGCATACAGTAGGTGCTTAATAAATATTTATTGGTTGATCTGAATGACTCATAGGATCATAGATCTAAGGTTGGATGGGTCCTTAGAAGTCATTATCAATGGGGCAGCTAGGTGGCGCAGCGGATAGAGCACTGGCCTGAATTCAGGAGGATCTGAGTTCAAATTCGGCCTCAGACATATAACCCTTACTAGCTGTGTGAGCCTGGGCAAGTCACTTAACCTCATTGCCTAACTGAAAAAAAAAAAGAGACGTGTCATCACCAAGTCCAAGATGAGGTAATTGAGGACCAAGGAAGTTGAATGACTTGTTCAAGGTTATATAGGTTGGTATTAGAGGCAGGATTTGAACCGAGGTCCTCTGCCTTCAGAGCCCCTGCTCTTTCTCCTGAACCAGGCTCTCTCTCATGATTTCATCTGTGTGGGATTTCTAGCCATGGACGGTCATAGCTCCTCTTTGACTTACTAGGATTGTTGGGTTCCTATCACTAAAAAACCATCCCCCTAGGATGATCCTCAGAAGCCATCAGTGATGCAAGTAGATCCCTCTAAGCAGTACTGTCAGGGACCCCTGTCCTAGAAGAGCCCCGCCTCAGCTCAGGTGGCCCTGTGTACACCTTTTTCCTAGAAAGAAATACACCCAGACTGAGTGAAATGACATGACCCAGACTAGAAATCAAAGTTAAATAAATGACAAAGATCTCATGCCATTTACTTAAGGGGGCAATCGATCATGGCATTTATTGAACCTTGCAATTTGGAGTGTCAGCTAACTATTCATTAATTCAAGAGAATAATCAGGATTCCAGGATTGGAAGGGACCTCAGAGTATGCCTAGCCCAAACTGTGCCAGCATAGAATACACTCTGTGCAGAGATCTCAAGTCAAGTCCAATCAATGAGCATCTATCTGGTAAATGGTCATAGAGGCTTTGGCCTCAATGTTTCCAATGAGGGTACCACCTATAATCTAATAGGACCCATACCTCCCAGGGCAGCCCTTTCTCCTTTGGGATGTTTGGGAATCTTAGGAAGCTTTCCCTACCTGAGACTAAATAATCTGTCTCTGTAATCTCCCCCCACTCTTTCTCATTCTGACCTCTGAAAACACACAGAAAATCCTTGTTCAGCCCTTCAAGCCTGAACAGAATCATCATTGCCCCCTAAATTCCCTCTTCTCCAGATTTAAAAAGAAAATCTTCTAGTGGAATATCAGGTAGGACAATCTCCAGCTCTCTAACCACCCTGGCTACATGCTTTTCTACATGGTTCAGCAACCTGGGTTCTTCCTCAAATGATATGGTGTGACCAGAGCAGAATATGAGGAGTTCAGCCAGGATGTTTATTCTCTTGGTTCATTTGACCCTAGATGTGGTTCTAGAAGGGACCTCAGAGGGCATCTGGGCTAATTTTACACATGAGGAAACTGAGGAAGTGAAGTGATTTGCCCAGGATCATAGAATTAGTATGTTTCTGAGGCAAGATTCAAACTATGTTCTTGACTCTAAGCAGTACACAGCATTGCCTCTCTGTATTATTTTTCCCCTTTTAAAATCAGCATCAGGTCTCAAGAGGTATGCTTACAGTAATGAGATTATAGTCTCCAGTCAGACACTGCTCAAGTCTGACTGACTGATTCTGCCCTCTCTCCCTCCTTTCTTCTTTTCCTTCTGTCTCTTTCGCTCTCTCTGTTTCTATGTCTCTGTCTCTTTCTCTGCCTCTCTCTGTGTCTGTGTCTCTGATTCTGTCTCTCAGCGTTTATGTATCTCTCTGTCTCTGTCTCTCCCCTTTTCCCTCTGTCTCTTTCTCTCTCTCTCTGTTTCTATGTTTCTGTCTTTCTCTGCCTCTCTCTGTGTCTCTGATTCTGTCTCTCAGTGTTTATGTGTCTCTCTGTGTCTCTGTCTCTCCCCTTTTCTCTCTGTCTCTTCTCTATCTTTGGTTTTCTCTGTCTCCTTCTTTCTGTCTCTCTGCTTCTCTCTCTCTTTCTCCCTCTCCCAAATAATAATATACTTCAGATTTCTCTGTTTCACCATCCATCACATTATCTTTTATTTCAAATTAATCTCCCTTGCCCTTTTCTAAGAAATATTAATTCAATCCATCAAACTCCCAACGTGGTGTGCAGTGTATATGGTACTAAGTTTGGACTCAGAAGACCTGGGTTCAAATCTTGTTTCTGCCACTTGTTATCTATAGGACCTTGGACAAACTAACTTCTCTCAGAATCAGTTTCCTCAATTGTCAAATAAGGGTGTTAGACTAGATGGCCCCAAAGGTCCC